CCTTTCTCTGTCCTTCCTTTTTGGACAGAAGCTGGTGGTGTTTTTTTAGCTGCCATCATTAAAACTCACTACCTTTTTTTCCTCTGCACAGGCTGCTTTGATCATGCAGGTTCTTCAACTAACTGCAGACCAGATCGCCATGCTGCCTCCTGAGCAGAGGCAGAGTATCCTGATCTTAAAGGAACAAATACAGAAATCTACTGGAGCGCCTTAAAAGGTGAGCAGACTTACCCTGCCTGAGTCAGACAAGCTCCTCATGCATTTGGGATATATACTTTCAAGCTTAACCAACAAGACCCTCCAAGACCTGCACGCCTCTTGGCTAGACCCTTCACCCTTCAGTAGCTCAGTCCCTATCATGACAGGGGAAGGCTGTAGGCATTTGTTCAGTTATTGAATGGATTGTAATCTAATTTAACCTTTCTTTCCTAATGACAAAAGTGACATATGATCAATTTAACCAAATTAATCAAATATAGAAATGTAGAAAGTTCAGGGTAAAATCTCTGCCCTCTCAATCTCATTCCCTAGATATAATATAATTTGATATGGTTTGATCATATATTCCTCCAGAATCGGTTGTTATTTTATTCCAAAATAAAATAACATAAATAAAATAAAATATTTCCCCATCAAAATGAAGAAAATACAAACCATTTCAATAAAACGTATAAGCATTCAGTTTCCAGTATTTATTTTACATTGAATACTTTGAGGTTAAACTATTACAGCACATAATTTAAGGTAGTGAATGTCCACCATCGCCATCAGTCCCTGTACATTTTAGAGGTTGCTGTACACTGCTGCCCTTATTTTTCTTGCTCATCAGTCAGGTAAAAAGGAACATAGTCATGTGACCTAACTTGATTACATGTATTGGCGTTTCATTTTTAAAAACTTTTCCCCAACATCTTGTATTTCATAAACAATTCTGCTTTCTAAGAACAGTTTAAAATGTACATTGTCCCAATATCAGTTGGAATATCACATTTTGAATTTCTGCTTTTTATTCCATCTTTATTATAATTCCCATCCATGTATTATCATATGACAGTGAACTCATTTACACTAACTAGCAGTCTTTACTAAATATATTGTATTTTAATCCATATCTGTAATGTTAAAACATCCAAACTGGAAATGTGCATTATATCTATATCTACACTTTAAATGACTGAACTTTAATGGGAAGCTGTCATAGATGGATGGAGTAGACTTTCAGTATGACCAGCACTTTTAGTCCAGATACCCAAGGCATTCTATTTTCTTCAGTAAAAGTATAGACTATTATAGATCTATAAAAGTACAGACCTGTTATATTCAGAGGAATAGATATATTAAAAAAATTATTCCTCTCTTCTACTTTTTCTAATTTATTTATGCCAGAGAAGGCATTCCCTACAATGTGAGGAAATTATGTTTTGGGATAGTAGAGGTAAAAATGTTTCTGAAAGTACTTTCATTGTGTATTCTTGCTTGTAAGATATCTCATTTTAAAGCCTTGCACATAAACCACAGGGCAAGGTTTTTTGTTTTAACTTTTATTTTGAAATAATTAAAAATTCACAAGAAGTTGGGAAAGTACTACAAAGAGCCTCGTGTACCCTTCCCCTAGCTTCCTGCAATGATAACATCCTGGGAAGCTGTTGTACACATACCTTTTTGGTTTATAGTGCAAAAGGAAGAAATTGACTTTGGTACCTTACCGTTAACTAGACTACAGACCTTATTCACCTTTTACCATTTTTACTAAACCTGCATTAATGTGTGTGTGTGTGTACGCACACGTAGTTCTGTGTATGTAGTTCTATGCAGGGAAGGTTTTAATGTGTATTTGCTGGTATTTGTGCATACTGTAGCCGAGATGTTGTCTCTTCCTCCGTCCTATACCTTGCTCATTGTGATCCAGCTCTGCTGTCACTGACAGGCTTATGTACCACTACCATCAGGTCAGTGGTTCTCAACCAGAGGCAGTTTTGCCCCCTACACGACATTTGGAAATGTCTGGAGACGTTTTTGGTTATCACAGCTTTAGGGGGTATGGTGTGCTACTGGCCTTCAGTGGGTGGAGACCCCAGATACTGCTAAACATCCTGTAATGCACAGGACATCCCCCAATAACAAGGAGTTCTCTGGCCCTAAACGTCAGTAGTGTTGAGGTTGAGAAACTCCGCTGTAAGGGATGATTACTTTGGGGAAGCAAGAGGCAGATACCTTAGGGATCTTTCCCTGGTGATTTGCTCATATGTGTAGCCTCCCTCCCCCACCTTTAAATTTTTTTTCCTGATGTTTGGGGAAGAGAACTTTGTCTCCACTTCTGATGGCTTTCTCCCAACTTTTCCTTACAGGTTTTCAAAACTACCTGGCAACAGATCTGGAAATTAATTCCATAACTTTGTTGAAATGTTGCAAAAAGAAGAATTCTGCATCCTAACCCTTGAATGACTCGAACTGGTGCCAGGTGGAGGACTCCCATCACCTTCTCTCAGAACAAAAATCAGTTCATTCTGTTGTCTTAGTTTGTATGTTTTCTGTGACTTGAAATAAACTTTGAACACAATTTTAGTATACTGCAAATTGATATACATGACCTTTTTGCTTTTAAAAGGCTGAACACCAAGGGTGAAACCTTACATGTGTTTTCTACCCTTACTGCAGTATTGTACTTTAATATTATGTTGCCATAGCTCTGTTTTTCCTTTTAAGTTAACCATTTATTCTTCTTGATGATATTTGAGAATTTCTCAGAAACAGTGTTTTCTGGAACTTAGTTTCTGCTTAGTTTGCTTCCAACAGGAATAATATTTGCCCTTTGAGAGCTTGCTAGAACTTCTGAGTCTACTGGGAGACAATAGCATGTGCTTAGAGCTGTAAAATGGTCAGAAGGCCAACAATGCAAAGAGCCTACCTAGGAGAGCAGTGTATTTAGTTTAGAAAAATCCAAATATCAAAATGTATTTTTTGGTCAGTACCAAGTCTATTCACATGCATAGTTCAGAGTTACGACAAAGATGATGTATGATCACTGGTTTGAGTGTGTCGTCAACAACACAAGAGACTGTTGACATTTTCTTGTCTGTTTTAAAACTCTTAAGTCTGGGTAGTCAACCTTAAAAGTTAAGAAAGCCACTAATTTTTCACATGTTCAAGGTGAAATAAACACTGAACAGAAATCAAACAAACAAAATACATTTCATCCTGCCTTCTAAATAATTACTAACCTACAGCCCTACCCAGTGACCAAATTTATTCTGGGAAACTAAAACATAGAAACTCTAAAACTTTTACATTTTTCTCATTTATTTTAAGAGGACCAAATGTAGAGCATAAGCTGTCAGATTGCCCATTAGGCCTGCCCCTGCCTGCTTCCTTTCAAATAGGTGTGAACATAATCAGTGCCACTGGCTCTAACCTATTGCTCTTCCAGCCTAGTATTCTCTCTCATAGTGGCATTAAGGAGAAACATGATTTCTCTCCATCAGGCCAACCTCAAGAGGTTAAGAGGTGCCTTAATAATTAGTAAAGTTCCACTGGAACTACTCCTGAGCCTATTTATGTTCACAGAGTCCTAGCCTCTGGGTTAGGATTATGGTCAAGTGAATTAAAAGCCTGCCATAGGCTTAGAGAATGTAATAGCATATTGCTTACCTGTGAAGCAAAAGAATGCAAAGATAATCAACTTTATGAGAGACATTAAAATTGAGGGATTTTCTACTCTGATATGTAAACATTTACTGCAACAAAAATTTGCTGAATAAGATACTTGATATTACAACCTAGGAAGAAAAACTTGCTCAAAACTGCTGAGGAGCTTTCTAGGTATCTTGCTCATCCCCAGTTCAGGCTTAGATGTTGATTATGTGTAGGATTTATTATCATTACCTTTTCTGCCTACTTCCATGAACATTCTAGGCCTTGATATGTTGATTTTAGCAGCAGTCATATCTTGAAGTGTCAATATATTTAGACATTAAGACCAAGAGTACAGCCTTTCTCCTTAGGAACTCATTATAAGTTTCAAGAACACTAAGATTCCAAATCAAACTCACTGAAGATCAAATTATAATTTGGTCAACAGTTGTCTAGTAGGAACCATATCATCAAGGTTCCATTGTGCATGTTCCTAAAGCCTTATTAAATTTAAATTAGCTGAAATCCGGGAAATTGGTAACAGCAGGGGTATCCCAATCTATTCCCATGGAAACATCCATTAGTATTTTTTCCTGATGTCCAGTTAATAAATGAAACACAATTAGCTACCATGAGTTCATGACCTACCTTTATTTTGTTCAAACTAGTGACTGAAAAGATTGGTTTTACTAATCTTTCAAGTCATGTAGGTTTCTGGATAATTAGAAACAATCATTTATTCATTTTTGCTCACTTAATGGTAGATAAATAGGTGCTATAATGTTGATTCAGTAAAAACATTCTTGTAAATCCAGTGACTTGAATTGTCTTTGGGCACAAAGAAATGTGGATTATTTTTCCTCTTTTAAGGGCCCCGATCTTTCCTTCTTCTGTTTCACAGTGACTACTGACATCCCAGAGCCAGGTGAATGGAAGAAATAAAAAGCATTTCAATAGGAGAAAGAAAAGGCATTTTGCTGATGTCATTAGGTGAATGATTCCTTAATGAATAGTTACGTATGAGCCAAAAAATGTGTTGTCAAAATTTTAAATTATCTTTTTTTTAAGACTAGACATTAATAAAACCCCTTGATAAAAATGGCAATAAAGAATCCTTGTTGACTAAATAATCATCCTAAGATGGAGTTCAAGTTTTCACAATTATTTCCAACAGAACAATGCAAGCTAATGACAACATAACTGACTTTCAATTATAATACAATTTCAATTATGATTAGCATACTTCCAAGATTTTCTTTCCCAAATGGAGAGCCTAGGTAAAGTAACAAAAGATTTATTCATTAAGCAAAGAAGAAAATCCTTCATTTTTTGACAAGCAAAAATAAGTAAAGCATAAATTGCTGTTCACACTGGATAAGACCATGTTTAACAGTAAGAATGTACATAGTGTTATATAGGTATTGGGTTCTTGGTAATTCTATGTTCGTTGTTTTACTATTTATGCTTATTATTATGTTTTGTCATTAATTCTTTAATAAATTTTTATTTAAAAAATCACCCTACTTAGAAATCTTCTTTGTGGGTGGGAGGGAGAGGAGAATGTGACCCAGAGTCCAGGAGACAGTAACACTTGGAATCAACAAAATCACCTGGAGTTAAATTGTGTAACTGTCAACCACGTCTCCTATCAAGCCTTGCTTCAATCATGGCATTCCAGAAGGATTTACAGTTGTTTTCCCGAGAAAGGATCCATGGGCTTTGCAATTATTGTGACTTCTGAAGTTCTTAGGTCCATGAAGCTCAGTGATGACGAAGTTGAGTCCAATCAAAAAAGAATACCAGAGAGTCAAGGCTTGAAAGAAACATGTTATTGTCCTTAAGTGGTTGCCCAAACCTGACCAGGCCAAGTAAATTGTTGAAGATACAGAGGCTAAATGCAGATTACCATCCTTATTCTTATAATTCAGAAATTTTCATTGTTGAAGTAGAATTGAACCTTCCTAGGATCCAGGCTGGAGTACTGATGACAGCATTTGCACAGGCTCTTTGCCAAAGTCTGAGGACCACATAGGAAGACTCCCACCGCCGACCTGCAAGAATAGAATGGTAGCCAGAGTTAGAATGCAGCAAAGGCTGCTGACAATGTTGGAGGGAATAGTTTCTGCCTCTGCTAGGCCTCTACTACTCCCAACAACCTTACATAAAAATTCAGTTATTGACTTTTTCATGTTCTTCATGTTCGTCTTCTCACCTTTTCCACTTGCAAGCCCCAAATATGCTCCCAACTCTTAACCCTCTCAGCACTCAGCCTTGCCTACTCTATTGAGCACAGACACTCAGGAGATGGAGTGCAGTGCACTAATGAAGTACTAGACTCTGAAGCCAGGCTGTCTAGGTTCCAATCCCTGTTCTGACATTTGTCCCAGCTGTGTGACTTTAGGCAAGTTTCTTAACCTCTCTGTGTTTCAATATTCCCCCCTGTAAAATGGGATAGTATCCACCTCACAGGGTTGTTTGAAGGTTTAAACAAAAATAACATATGTAAAGCAATTAGAAAAATGCCTGGCATATAGCAAGTGCATATGTTAGCTGCCATTAAATCCATCCAGTGTTTTCTCACACTGAAGAGGTGTTGGTTCTTATTGCCAAGGATAATCTTTCTAACTAGGCTCTGGGTCTCACCCTGTCCTTCCTTCCCTCATACCTTCCTCTCCTCTCTTTTTTACTTGAGACATAATTCACATGACTTAACATTCACCCTTTTAGAGTGTGCAGGTAGTGCTTTTTAGTATAACCGCAAAGTTGTGCAACCATCACCACTATCTAATCCGAGAACATTTCCATCTTCCCAAAAAGAAAGCCCATACACATTAGCAGTCACTCCCCATTTCCTCCCAACCGCCCCCACTCCCTGCCCTAGACAATCAAGTATACTTTCTGTCTCTAGATTTGCCTATTCTGAACATTTCATATAAATGGAATCATACAATATGTGGCCTTTTGTGTCTGGTTTCTTGCACTTAGCATACTGTTTTCAAGGTTCCTTCATGTTGTAGCATGTAATATACTTCATTCCTTTTTACAGCTGAATAATATTCCTTTGTGTGAATATACCACATTTTGTTTATCCATTCATCTGTTGGTGGACACTTGGGTTGTTACCACTTTTTGGCTATTTTACATACATTCACATACAAGTTTTTGTGTGGACATATGTTTTCATTTCTCTTGGGTATGTACTTAGGAGTGAAATTGCTGGGTCATGTGGTGATTCTATGTTTAACATTTTGAGGAAATGCCAGAGTTTTCCTAAAGTGCTGCACTGTTTCACATTCCCATAAGCAACGTGGGAGGAACCTGCCTACAGTTTCCCCATTTCCTCGCCAACTCTTGTTATTGCCCTTTTATTATGGCCATCCTAGCCCTGTCTCCCCTTTTGTATGTTTATTTTATTCCTATCTACTGTCTCCTGATCTGTCTATAGATATGCTTAGATCATCCTTAAACTAAATAAGTATTTCCTGGACCCTGCCACTCCTCCAACCCTGTTGACAATACTCCTCTAATATTTCCTCCCTTGGCTTCTGTGATACTGCTTCTACACATTCTCCTACTTCTTCCCTGGCTCATCTTTCTCCCTTCCCACACAATGTATGCATTCCTTAATACAACTTCAACTATCATCAACCCGACACAATAATTAACATAATCTCTTTTGTTTATATGCTGTTTTACAGTTTACAGAACATTTTTAATATATTGTCTTGCTTATTATTCACGACAATCCTGCAAGTGAGTAGAGCAGGCGCTTACTAATATAAACCCCCATTTTACATATGAGGAATCTGAAGATCAGAGGGCTTTGTAGCTCAAGGTCCCAGAACTAGAAAGTGTCAGAACTAGCAGTAGGACCCAGGATCATCTGAATCTGAGTCACTAAGTGTTCTCTCCACTGCCTTCCTGAAGCCTTTCCTGATCACCCCATGTGGGCATAGACTTTTCCTCCGTGTCCATGTACCTGCTTCATGGAGTGCATCATTCTGCTTGAGTCGATTATATGCATCTCTTGTTAAAATGTGTGCTCCTTGAAGGCAAGAACCATATCCTATTTTTCTTTCAACCTCCAAATCTTTTAGAATAGTGTGTGCTGTACCCTATAGAAGGTAACCAATAATGTTTGTGGAATTGAACTGATCTTCACCTGCCAACTTGTTCCAAGGATTTATCTAATACGATCAGCTTAATCTTCCCATTGGAATGGCTGATTTTATGGCTGATTTTCATGCTCTAGCATGTCTCAGGACCCCTCAGAAAACTGAGGTCAGGTCATCAGTTAACTAGTTAATACACTCCAAACCCTTGTTACTTTAAGTAGAGGTCATTAAGGCCCAAAACAATGCATTTTTTAAAATTTAATTGTAGTTGACTTTTACAATATTGTGTTAGTTTCAGGTGTACAGCTTCAGATTCTTTTCCATTATAGGTTATTACTTCCCTGTGGTATATGGTACAATCCTTGTTATCTGTTTTATATACAGTGGTGTGTGTCTGTTAATTCAATACTCCCAATTTATCCCTCCCCCTCCCCTTTCCCCTTTGGTAACCATAAGTTTGTTTTCTATGTCTGTGACTCCGTTTCTGTTTTGTAAATAAGTTCATTTGTACCATTTTTTTAGATTCCACATATAAGTGATATTATATAATAGTTGTCTTTGTCTGACTTACTTCACTTGGTATGATAATCTCTAGGTCCATCCATGTTGCTGCAAATGGCATTATCTGAGTAATATTCCTTTTTTTTTGAAAGAAATTTATTATTTTTTACTTATTTTATTATTTATTTTTTGGCTGTGTCAGGTCTTGGTTGCGGCATGCAGGATCTTCGTTGCGGCTTGCGGGATCCTCCACTGCGGCGCGTGGGGGCTCCTCATTGCCGTACTCAGGCTTGTCTCTAGTTGTGGCCCGTGTGCTCAGTAGTTGCAGCACACGGGCTTAGTTGCCCCACGGCATGTGGGATCCCAGTTTCCCAACCAGGGATTGAACCCACGTCCCCTGCATTGGAAGGTGGATTCTTAACCACTGGACCACCAGGGAAGTCCCTGAGTAGTATTCCATTGTGTGTGTGTGTGTGTGTGTGTGTGTGTGTGTATCACATCCTCTTTATCTATTCATCTGTCAATGGACATTTAGGTTGCTTCCATGTAAATAATGCTGCTATGAACATTGGGGTGCATGTATCTTTTCGAATTAGAGTTTCCTCTGGATATGTGCCCAGGAGTGGGATTGCTGGATCATATGGTAACTCTATTTTTAGGGTTTGTTTTTTTTTTTTGTGGTACGCAGGCCTCTCACTGTTGTGGCCTCTCCCGTTGCGGAGCACAGGCTCCGGAAGCGCAGGCTCAGCGGCCATGGCTCAGGGGCCCAGCCACTCCGCGGCATGTGGGATCTTCCCGGACCGGGGCACGAACCCGTGTCCCCTGCATCAGCAGGCGGACTCTCAACCACTGCGCCACCAGGGAAGCCCTATTTTTAGTTTTTTAAAGAAACCTCCATACTGTTTTCCATAGTGGCTGCACCAATTTACATTCCCACCAACACTGTAGGAGGGTTCCCTTTACTCCACACCCTCTCCAGCATGTACTACTTGTAGACTTTTTGATGATGGCCATTCTGACTGGTGTGAGGTGAAACTTCACATTGTAGTTTTGATATGCATTTCTCTAACAATTAGCGATGTTGAGCATCTTTTCATGTGCCTGGTGGCCACCTGTATGTCTTCTCTGGAGAAATGTCTGTTTAGGTCTTCTGCCCATTTTTTGATAGGGTTGTGTTTTTCTTTTTTGATATTGAGTGGTATGAGCTGTCTGTATATTTTGAAAAGTAAGCCCTTGTCAGCTGCATTGCTTGAAAATATTTTCTCCCAGTCTGTAGGTTGTCTTTTCATTTTGTTTATGGTTTCCTTTACTGTGCAAAAGCTTTTAAGTTTGATTAGGTCCCATTTGTTTATTTTTGCTTTTATTTCTTTTGCCTTGGGAGACTGATCTAAGAAAATATTACTACAGTTTATGTCTGAGAATGTTTTGCCTAGGTTCCCTTCTAGTTTTATGGTGTCATGTCTTATATTTAAGTCTTTAAGCCATTTTGAGTTTATTTTTGTGTATAGTGTAAGGGAGTGTTCTAATTTTATTGATTTACATGAGGCTGTCCAGCTTTCCCAACACCACTTGCTGAAAAGACTGTCTTATCTCCACTGTATATTCTTGCCTACTTTATTGAAGATTAATTGGCTGTAAGTGTGTGGGTTTATTTCTGGGCTCTCTATTCTGTTCCACTGATCTATATATCTGCTTTTGTCCCAGTACCAAGCTGTTTTGATTACCGCAGCTTTGTAGTATTATCTAAAGTCTGGGAGGGCTATGCCTCCAGCTTTGTTCTTTTTCCTCAGAATTGCTTTGGCCCAAAACAGTGCATTTGAATTGTTCCCGTTCTCTATTTTGTTTGGTAAGACAACCAGAACTGAGTCTCTTTGCCTCACTGTTTGAATGCATGTGGGGACAACAAATGTCTTCTCGTCAATTACAAGATCAAGACCCTTATTTCGCTGAAACGCCACAGGAAATTTCCTCACTTTTAAGCAAGAATCTAAGATTGGTGCAAATAGTTTTGGCCCCAGAGATCTTTCCCAAGAGTGTTCAACATGCTGTAATACTTGTCTTAAACCTAAATCTGCAAAATGAATCAGTTCTGCAAAATCAATTCTGTAACTAGAGGAGAATACACTTACTTGGGGTGGGTGGTAGCTATTGTAGAAAACTCATTGTCCCACATAGGTCTCCCAAAGGAGGTTTTCTGTTTCAGACCTGTCAGGATATCAGTGGCCTTGTCAAAGCTTAATGCTGCATGACCAGCCTGGAGTCAGAGAAATAGGAAGTTAGAAAAAGCAGGTCCTGATAGCTGCCTCTTCCTTCAGCCACTTTTAAACTTGGGTGTGAAGGTGAGAACAGGTAGGAAATCATAAGAAATGATTATTTCTAATCAGCATATATTATGTTTCGTCTGACATTCATCTTGCATCTTGGGAATTAGACTGTTGTTTGAACTCACAAAGTTGCCGTCCCATCTGGTGAGGAAGAGACGGTAGTTTAGGAAACCCACTTTGCCTAATTCCTCCATCTCCTGTTCCAGGGAAACCAATAGGTCACTGAACCAAGCAAACGCACCTGTCTCCCTGTAGATCCAGTAGAAATAGATCTGGAATCAGCAAAAGAGAATATAGCCTTATTAAGTGCCCTTTACAATGTGCACTATGGTGACATGATTATGTACGTATACACTATATTTGTTGATCCAGTCTAAGAGTGACCTGAAAAAATCACCTCTACAGTACAGCAGACCTCAGGTGGCATTAATGTCCAGAGTCCTAACAACTTCCCTTATGCAAAGAGAACTCCAACGTCAGCTTTAGTTCAAAGTGATTTTAAACTCCAATTGAAAATGAAGACCCAGTTCTTATGGTAAGTCTGTAGAAGCAGATGCCTTGGCAGGGAGAAGTGATCACTCACTCGCATAACTCCAGGGAGGGGTTACTCTCTTACCAGTTGTAAAGAGCTTAGCCCATGAAAGCAATGGACCTATCAGGCCCAGACCAGATGAAAAGTGGTATTCGGGCGCATACCGTTTGTGTTTTGAGGTTGTGATTTGCATTCCAGAATTTGTACCAGATGGATTTCAAGATGGAAGCAAAGGGGGTGACCCCAATTCCTGCTCCGACCAACACAGCCACTTCATACTGGAAGACATCCTCACTGACAGTGCCAAAGGGACCATCCACCTTGGTCCTGGCAGAAGGCAAAAAACAAAGGGGAAGTGAAGTCTCACCTCCACCCACAACCTCAAAAATCCTCCCAGAGGCAGAGCTGTTCCACAGCTGATTGCTACCTGTTTATTTTAATCATACTCCATTGTACCAGACTTAAGTTTCAATGCGGAATTGCTTTCTCTTTTCTGCTTGTCTGCTTTCTGGTCTGGGTCTCTGCTGCTCTTAAGGACCTACCTGGGAACTGGTGAATTCTGTTGTTCAAAAGCCCTTATGAGATTTTCTGTCCAGTCCCCCACTGCTCAGATATGAATGGAAAATAAGTCTTCTTCTGGAGCAGAGGTCAGGGTAAAGGGATGCCACTCCAGGTAAGAGATTGAGGGGCAACTAACAAAAATATACTGTCCCACTTCCATGCTGAAGCCATTTTTGTGCATCTGCAATTCCAAAACTTTGGATGGGTACATGACCCATCCTATGAATAAAGCACAGAGGCCAAAGGAGGCAAATTCAAATGGCGACAGGAGCAGGCAGATAAGGTAAATAAGTAAAGCTGGAGAGCTGGTGATGGCCGTAAATTGCGAACACAAGTCTTTTCTAAAGGGGGCAGCAGTTACCAAGTCCAGACAATGGTCATACTACGGAGCCAAGACTCAGCATTGTCAGGTTGCCTGATTCTTCAAGAGAAACCAGAAATGCCACTTTAAAAAACTGAAGGATGGTTGATTTACAATACTGTGTTAGTTTCAGGTGTACAGCATAGTGATTCAGTTATTATTTTCAGATTATATTCCATTATAGGTTATTGCAAGATATTGAATGTAATTCCCTGTGCTGTAACTGGGTAGGTTGGAAAAGCAACAAGAAATGCCACTTTTTCAATGTGAAAGCCTCCATCCAGATTTCTAAATGTTAGCAACCAATTTGACTTTCTAAACAATCAGGGCGTGTGCCAAACAAAATATGTCTGTGGGCTAGATATGGCGCAGAATGCCTATTTGCAGCTTCTGACATAGACCCAAGCTGATGATTTCTGCCAAACCTCTCTTTCCAGCTCTGTCCAGCTCTGGAGGAACTCAAATATATTGCCCTCAAATTCTTTTTTTTTCCTGTCAAGGTGACAATGTGGCAATTTATTTCTATAATCAGGAAGAACACAACTCTTAGCAGAGCAAGAAGAAAGTGCATATTCTTTACCTTGGTAATCACAACCTTCTGCTGGGAGCGATAAAATCAGAGGATCCTTTCAAAGATGTAAATAATGACTGGTATAAGGATCCACTTCCAAGACTGCACACAGAGACAATAAAAAGTGAGGTTACACATTAATCTCTTCTCTAGGATTTGTTTGTGTAGCAGTTCATTCCTTCATTCAATAAATATTTACTGAGTTCTCTGACGTGTATCATTACTAAGCTGCTAATTTCGCCAAAGTTTGAAGAAGGAAATGGAAAGGAGTAATCCACAACGGTTTTGTTTGCTAATCTGTTACTCATAAAGCAGATCATTTCCTGAAATTTTACAGGTCTCACCAGGAAGCAAGAGAAAAGCACAGAAATAAAATACACGGTAATTATATATATTCTTAAATAATATTTAAAGTTTAATTTTAAGAATCTAAGACCATCTTCCAGGACAACTTGTCCAATGTGAAAAACCAACAGAGAAGGTAGATGTGAAATAGCAGCAGATGACGAAAAACAAAACAAAACAAAAAGGGAAAGTGTGTGGCTGACACTACTGGTAACAGTAATACATACTTGGTATTTATCCATCACCTCTTTTTTCAGGTGCTCAAAACATCTAACATAGTAAAACATTTTTTATCTTGTCTACTTTTTTTAAAAAGCAGTCTCTCTATCCCTGAGATCTTCTCAAAGGCAGCAGTTTGCTTCTATATGCACAGGAGCTACTAAAAATGTATTTCCTAGCAGTGCTAAGTCATGTTCTTTTTTGCCCAACTGCTCAATCACAATACATTGGAACTGTGTGGAATGAGGTTTCTTATGCTGTTTCAGGCAAGATACTTTCTTGGGTATCTCTGGGGAGGAAAGGGGCAGAGACGGGGACAGTAAATCGGAGAGTGGGTATAATACAATTTGATGCTACTTCTTATTTGGAAAAAATCCCCAGCTGAATTCAGAAGACATGAAAAAAATATATTTAAGAAGTGGCTAGGACTTCCCTGGTGGTCCAGTGGTTTGGACTCCATGCTTCCAGTGCAGGGGGCACAGGTTTGATCCCTGGTTGGGGAAGTTCCACATGCTGTGGGGTGTGGCCAAAAGTAAATTTTAAAAGAAAAGTGGCTAATCACCAATGTGGGAAAAAAATGTTAGCTTTGAAAGTAATCAGAGAAAATGAATATTAAAACAAAATAGTATTTTAGCGTCTCAAATTGGAAAGCAGTTTCAAACAATAATTCCCACCATTAAGTGGGATGCAGGGAAATAGACACATTCACATGTGCACCTGGGGGAAGTACAAATAAGTAGCATCTTCCCAGAGAGCAATTTGGCAAAACATCTCAACAGCCTTGAAAGCATTCCTTCTCTTTGACACAGGAATTTTACTTCTAGGAAATGGAGCATAAAATAATAATTAAAGTGTGCACAAAGTATATGAGTATAGTCATGACCACTTATTTACTAAGAAAAAATGACAAAAATGGCATATCGGACTCCTCTGGTGGCACAGTGGCTAAGAATCCACCTACCAATGCAGGGGACACGGGTTCGAGCCCTGGTCTGGGACGATCCCACATGCCGTGGAACAATTAAGCCCGTGCGCCACAACTACTTAGCCTGCGCTCTAGAGCCCGCGAGCCACAACTACTGACCCCTTGTGCCACAACTACTGAAGCCCACGTGCCTAGAGCCCGTGCTCTGCAGCGAGAGAAGCCACAGCAGTGAGAAGCCCGCGCACCGCAACGAAAAGTAGCTGCTGCTCGCCGCCACTAGAGAAAGCCCGCGTGCAGCAACAAAGACCCAATGCAGCCATGAATAAATAAATAAATTTATTTAAAAAGAAAAAAGTGGCATATCATACAGACCTTTTTTGGCTAATACCAAACTGTCTTTTCTTAATTTTTATTTATTTTTTTGTATTGAGATATAACATATAACATATTAGTTTCATGTGCACAACATAATGATTCAATATTTGTATATATTGCAAAATGATCACCACAATAATTCTAGTTAACCTTTCTCACCATGCATGGTTACAAAAAATTTTTTTTCTTGTGGTGAGAAATTTTAAGATCTACTTTCTTGGCACCTTTCAAATATGCAGTAGAGTATTATTAATTATAGTCACCATGCTGTACATTAGATCCTCAGGACATTTTATAACTGGCAGTTTGTACCTTTTCACTACCTTCACCCATTTCGCCTATACCCCAACCCCTGCTTCTGGTAACCGCCAATCTGTTCTCTGTATCTATGAGCTATTTTTTTTTTAGAGTCCATATATAAGTGAGATCATACAGTATTTGCCTTTTTCTGTCTGACTTATTTCATTTAGCATAATACCCTCAAGGTCATTAAAAATGATCATGTAGGAAAAAATGACAAAAATGGTATAACATATGGCATTTTTAAAACAAATTCTTCAGGGACTTCCATGGTGGTCCAGTGGTTAGGACTCCACACTCCCAATGCAGGGGGCATGGGTTCAATCACTGGTCAGGATTGAAGTTCTCTCACGCTGTGTGGTGCAGCAAAAAAAAAAAAGTTTCAGTAGAATACTTGATAATATAGGAAAAGATCCATGATATAGACTAAAGGAAAAAAGTTATTACTTCTAGGTGATAAAATTCTGTGAAATTTTAATTTTCTTCTAAATATTTTTCTGTGTTTTCCAAACTTTCTACAATAAGCATGTATTATTTTTATTTTTTATTTATTATTATTATTATTTATTTATTTATTTTCTGCGGTATGCGGGCCTCTCACTGCCGTGGCCTCTCCCGTTGCAGAGCACAGGATCTGGACGCACAGGCTCAGCAGCCATGGCTCACGGGCCCAGCCGCTCCACGGCACGTGGGATCCTCCCGGACCGGGGCACAAAACCGTGTCCCCTGCATCGGCAGGCGGACTCTCAACCACTGCGCCACCAGGGAAGCCCCAGCATGTATTATTTTTATAATTTTTAAATGGGGAGAATGTGGAGAGAGTATTTTTGTGTGTGTTTATGGAAGAAACAAACCAATACATTCAAACAGATGGCAAAACCGGTATTCTCTCCCTTGTGGTATTACATGACTATTCAAAGCAACCCCTGAGTTCTCAGTATACCTCCAAATAGGCCAACTATACCTTTATCTCAGGTAATAGATGGGAAAGGGATAGAAGCTGATGTGCAAGGTAAGACAGGGAATTAACTGCCTTAGCTAGTAAGGGACTCGTCAAGCGTTATAACTTCTTGTCTTTAAGGACCTCTTACTGGTCAAATAATATAAAAGGTGTCTGGTCATAGCCTACAAGTTCCACTGACTTTAGAAATGAAATGTGCTATTAACATATATCAGGTATGTCCTTTTAAAATTATTTTTAAAATAGGTAATACACGTACATGTCACAAAATTCAAAAGTACAAAAGGGTATACAATAAAAAGTAAATCTCCCTTCCACTGCTCCCCTCAGCTCCCCAAGGCAGTCAATATTATTATTTTGTGAATCCTTTTGGAGAATATGCATTTAAATGATAATATTACATTAAGTACAAATGGTAGCAGAGCATACATACTGCCCTGACTTTTTTTCATTTAACATCTTAGAGACTGGTCCATATTCATATCTAGAAAGCTACCTTTTTATTTTCAATGGTTACAGAGTATGCCATTGTAGGAAAGTCCCGTAATTTAACTAGTCCCCTATTGATGAGCACTTATTTCCAATCTTTTGTTCTACCAAGCAATGTTACAATGAATAACCTAATACATGTAATTTAACACATTTGCAAGCATATTTTAGATGCTCATCAGCAATGCTTGAGAGCATTACCAACACAGCACATGAGCAAACTCTTTGATCTTTGCTAATCTGTTAGGTTTACTACTGTGATCACTCTGTTCATATCTTCTACATCTTTTTTTTTAATCAGGTTGCTAGGCTTTTTCTTATTGATTTCTATATTTGTATATTAGGAAATTAATTCATGGTCTGTGAACTGTAAATACTTTTCCTACTCAGTAATTTGTTACCTGTCTTTATTTATGATGGATTTTTTTGCCATAAAAAAAATATATATGGATGGATGGATGGAGAGAGACAGGGAGAGAATAAATAAATTTGAATAAAAATATGTATTTTCCTTCCTTTTCTGGCTTCGAGCTTTTTAAAAACATTATTTAGAATATTTTTACTAAAACTCCAGTATTAGAAAAAAAAATCCCATGTGGTCTTAGGGTGCTTTTATGATTTCTTTCATTTTTTTCAACATTTAAATCCTTGATCCATGCATCCTTGACCATATTTTACTGTAAAGTGTGGAATAAAGAGACAGCTTTTTTTCCTAGATGTCTATCCTATTATTGTAAAGAAAAGTATTGAATAATGTATCTTTTTTCCCAACTGATTTGAAATGTCAACTTTAGGGGATTTTCTTTCTTTCTTTCTTTTTTTAAAAATTAATTTTTGGCTGTGTTGGGTCTTCATTGCTGTGCGTGGGCTTTCTCTAGTTGCAGCAAGTTGGGGCTACTCTTAGTTGTGGTGCGCGGGCTTTTCATTGTGGTGGCTTCTCTTGTTGCAGAACACAGGCTCTAGGCACGTGGGCATCAGTAGTTGTGGCACGTGGGCTCAGTAGTTGTGGTGCATGGGCTTAATTGCTCTGCGGCACGTGGGATCTTCCCGGACCAAGGCTTGAACCCATGTCCCCTGCATTGGCAGGCGGATTCTTAACCATTGCACCACCAAGGAAGTCACAGGGGATTTTCAAAAAACATTTTTCTCTTTCTACATGAGGACAGAGCTATTGCTCTTAATTCTGCATATGATTTAAAGGCTTTAATCATCCTCAGAGCACTTTAAGACACCACAAGTCAACCTTTCCCTTCCATTTCTTCCTCAATCTAACATATTTTATGAACAAGTAAAGGTAAAGCATAATATCCATGGTACTTACTTTGAGGCACACCTTAAGTTCCCTGGAATCCAGTTTATTGATCATCCACTATCTAACAATAATTTCCAGGCATGTTCTTACAATACCAAAGAAAGTCAACTTCAAGAATGGTTTAAAAAATAAATTGAGGGGGCTTCCCGTGTGGCCTCTGTCAATGACATATGGCA